GCGCGGCGGGGCGGGGGGGCCGCCCCGGGCCCGCGGCTGCAGCCTCGGAGCCGTTTCGGTGCCGTGAGCTGCTCCCGGGCTCTCCAACGCTCCCAGAAACGGCCGGTATGGACAAAACACGAGCTGGGCGCCGGGGAAACGTGCCCGGGTATTGCCAGCTTTGTCCCGTGAAAGATACGAGGGTTAGGGACCTTCTCGTGCACTGCTGGGTACACGTTATTTACGTGTTAAACAGGTAATTTCTACTGCATCTCGGAGGTGCTGCTGCATCATTTTGCATTTCACGTGATATTTTTAATAGTACAAAATATATTTGTTCTTAAATATCCGTCATCACTAAATAAACCTTACAAGCTGAATGTAGAAAGAGTTGTTTTACAGTTCCTTGTGCAGGTGTTAAATAATATGAGCTTTCTTGTTAAAGCAATGTGGAAAAAAGGCTGCAGCATTGTAACAGGCAAAGAAGCAAACAGCCCCTCTATTCCCACCCTCCCCAAAAGACTCTCATTCCCCATGGTTTGGCTCTGGAAACTGGGGAGTCTGTTCATCAAAGACAGAGCTTCCTCTCCACCTTTGCCGACCTCCTTTGCTGAAGTTCATGCACCAGGAGAGACTGTACAGATGTAGCAACCAGGTGCTTGGGCTCCAGAGCAGCTTCCTGACAAGTGTGGATGGAGTCTTGCACAGGAGGGAGTGATGCTACTGTTCCACAGGTGAGCAGTTAGGCAGGAGTCATGTAAAGGGGACGGACACTTCTAAGCCTCTCCCACATCAGGATCTTTTCCTAGTTGGTTAGATATACCTGGATACCCAGTTTTGGCCAGCAGAATGAGATGGTAGCAATCAGAATTGACTGCACTGCTGAGTCTGTGCTGGTAAAGTAGGTGGCAGAAGCATTGGGTGAATAGCGTCATATCTTGTGATCTACAAGGCTTACTGTGTGTTCTGGAGCCAGCACCCTAATTGCTGGGATAGATCAGCTCTATTTCTGTCAGCTGGTAGCTAAATCCTTGGAAGATTACAGCTCTATCAGTGCATTCATTGCTAATAGGCTTGTAGGAGCACCTGTCCCATCTACCTACGTACTCTCTAAAAGGAAGTGGTCCAATTTGGATTGAGGATAACCATTTGCACTTCTGCTCCCAGAAGTCGTCCTGATGGCACAACATTGTATTATCAATACTAAAACCACAAAAAGTGGCTCTATGTGGTAGAGATTTGGCAGAGAGGCCACTGTACTAAACATCAGTTTCTTTTCCACATGCAAACAGTTTCTCAGCTATTGCAAAACTTTTGTCTGTTGGATTCTTCTGTGTTGTTTCCACATATCCGTTTGTTATGGATTGCACATCAGACTTGTGATTGACAACTGAAAAATAAACACATTTATTACTGGTTTTGTGAAGAGTAATATATACATGTATGTGAATGATGTGTTGTAAGGCTGATTACACAGTAGCCAAGTGACTAGCTTGAATTAGAAGTGGTTTAAATATATTGTATTTCAAAATATTTGAAAACAAATAAAAGTTTTAAAAATACAATAAGACTAAAGGCAGTGTGCTTTGGCAGCGGTCTGTGGCAGTGATTTAATGGGAATTAGTACAGGTCGTTGAAGCTTTTTTACCTTGTTTGTTCTTCTCGGGGCCTGAATTGTCTTCATTAGACCTGGATTTATAACTCTCGAGTGTCTGCTCCGAAGCATCATTCTCTGTGCAGTTAACATATGTAATTAACATGATGAAATTTTTCCATGCTGCTTGCTCCCCCTCTGCCTTGAACATAAAAATCTTGAAAGACTGGTTAAAATGACCGTTCAATCATCCTGAAGCATCCAAGAGAGATGCTGCTTAAAACAACAAATCTGTCCCCTCCTCTCCTTTGAAATAAACTTATCCCCTGAAATAACCAGCATTCACACTTTTTTTCTGGCAGTGCCATCACTTACCTCTCTTCCACTGTCCGTGAGCTTTTTTGAGCTTCCTCATGAAAAGCAAGACTATGATAAGCAGCACGAAAATGAGAGCAGCCACCAGGACTGGCAGCAGAAGATTCTTCTCCTTTTTGATGCTTTCATTTTTCAGATCCTGCTCTGCAAAAGACAGACATAGACTGAGTCCTTGGTAATTAAAACCCATCTGTCCTGGGCCAGGCCAAATGTAAATGTTAGCAGTGCAGAAGTCCTTTCTTGTGATTTGTTTAAGGAGATGAGATGTTTTGTTGTTGGTATGGATAAGAAACTGATTGAAAGCAGAGGATTTGTCCCCTGGCACATCCTGCAGGCTACTTAGCTTATTTCTAGATGTTAGGAGAGGTTTTGTTTCTTTAGTATCTTCGCAGTATAACTACCTGGCATTGCCCTAAAGACAGTGACTGGGTGTCAGTTTGAAGCTAGCTCAGCCCCGTGCCAGTTTGGAAGCTGTCACTGAAAGGTATTAATCAGGGCTTACTGAAGGTGAGGGTGGTCATCATGGTTGAGTTTTCAGTGGGTGATGAGGCTTCTGTCCGGTAGAGTTCTTGTGTGACTGTTCCATGGAAGGTTGTTTCAGTCCCTGTGGAAGCAAAAAGGATTACTATTTTTCTGAAGGGCAAAGGAATGAGTAAAAAATTTATATTTTCCAACACCTCTGAAGTCAGGGGCTCATTGTAATGCAGCAGAAATAGACTTTGAGATAGAATAGACCCTGTCTTAAAGCTCTGTGCTCACTTCCTTAATGTTATGTGTCTTTTAAATCAAAACACAAGCCAAGCTTCATGAGCATAAAATCCTCAGAGCCTTTTGCACCATGTTGAACTCTATGGTTTCAATTTACAGCCAAATTAAAATTAAGCTTAACTTAGACTGTTTGCTCCTTTTTCCCCTTTCTACTTGCTCCCTCTCCTTCAGCTTGCTTTGCTGGCTTGCAAAAACGCCAATGTGATGATATCTTTCTGTCTAAAGCAAATTATTTCTATTCCTATTTCAGACTTTTTGGTGTCTTCCTGGTGTGCAGCGGTTTAACCACCCCCAGTTTGAGAAATGCTGTCACACGGACACTACGATGCCACTTGTGCTGACATAACATACCATTGGGGACGTTGTAACTCCAAGTACCAGAGCCTTCTTCATCTCCTGCTGCAGCTGGTATTATTTCTGATCCTGTGGAGACAGAGAAATGTTCTGATTTTCTTATGCACACAGATACTAACTATATCATGTGTAATTAACTGCAGTTTGTAATGACTTTGCATGCTGCGTCTACCAAAACTTTACATTATAAGAAATTTTCCTTCTTATCAGCCATGTACGCACATTAGCTGAAAACACTGCCAAAACATACAGACTCTCAACATCAAAAACTTGCTTATCAAAAGCACATTCATTTCTAAAACAGGCAGCTGACTTTTCACTCCTTGTCCTGTAACACAGTGCAGGTGCTTACCCAGTAGGTTCCCACTTGGATGTTTTTTGGTTAATTGATTTGGGAAACAGAGTTTTTTTCTTTTGTTTGCAAAAAAACCCCGTCTAGTTCACAAAATGTGCAGGGTGCTAACCCCATCTTGGTTGCACACTGCCACCTAGTGCAACCATTCGGGAGATCTGAGGCTTAGGCCAGCGCCTTGCAGTTGTAGCATGCGGTGGCCAGTTAGTCTACTCATAACAGAAATAATTCTTTTCCCTCTAAAGGGAGAAGAGCAGTTTGCTTTTGTGGTTACAATCTGAGGTGCTGTGAAATTAAAAGAAACTGGAAGTAAAAATCTCACCAGTAAATTGTGGGTAGCTGAGAGAAAAGGCTGTACTGCTGTTCAGATCCGACTTTGCTGTGCTCGCTGGGGAGAAAGGTGAAACAGCTCTGAACACTGTGCAAATGCTCTTCAGCGCGAACAGCAACGGTTCTTTTACTTCCAAGGTTTAGGTAAAGACACTCTAAGATATTCTCTGTGATACTTGTGTTTATCTGGTCTGTGTAGGAATTAAAGGCCGAGCAGTTAAAGCCTACCTTTCGAGGGCGCGTTCTCCGAGATGGTTGTCTCTGTGCCTACTGCAGTTGGAGCAGAATGTGTAGTTGTTACTGGAAAGAAAGAAAAAAAAAACCAACAGTGCAACCTTCAGAACATGTTATAAGCATCTGTTGAATCAATATATCTAAGGAGAAATGAAGTAAGGATTACTAGGCCCATACTGAAGATAAGTAAATGGACACAATTATTGGGCAAGAGGCGTCAAAATTAATTTACAATACTAAATCTGTACCAGCTTTCCACATGGGTGTGTCTAATACACTGTAGATGTGAGAATCTCACAGCTTTTTGTGCACATAGACACTTCAGATTTTCGTAGCAGCCGTGAACCAAGTCTCACTGCTAATCAGACTGGACTGGGCTGCTGTGGCTTCATTTAAGGTAATTTTAAGGTAGCTAAGAAGCAGAATAAAAGCCCCTAAATTTCAGTTTGTTTTATCTTTTGGCACAGATAAAACTAATATTCAAAAGCAGCTTCCATACACAGGACAGTAGAGCACGGCCTTCAGCATCGCACGTGCACAACTGTAACCACTTTAGAGGGGGAAAGCGGAGTAGCCGGTGTAACTGTCGGTACCAGGCGCCGGGCCGCTCCCGAAGCGGAAGGTTGCAGCCAGCCCGTCCTCTCCCAGCGCTCGGTGGTGGGCGACGCAGGTGGCCGTGGCGCCGGGCCGGTGCGCGAGCACCGTGAGCGTGCTGCGCGTGCTCCATCTCCTCCCGTCCGCCTCCACCGTGTGCCGAGTGGCACCTGCGCAGCCGTGGGGAGAAAAGGGTTAAATGGCTTCCAGCCAAGGGCAATTGAATGAAAAACCTCCCCGGCGCAGTCTATATCACTTTGCTCTGTGCATGATTACCGAGCGTGAGCCGTTCTTTGTACCAATGGATTGCGCTGGAGCCCAAAGCCAGCAAGGGCATTTTTCCTTCCTCATTCACTTAACCCAAAGCCTCCACTCTATTTCATGGCCAACACTTAGATTTTTTTTTTTTTTCAAATTTTTTTCTTTAACTGTCCATCAGGACACCGTAATCTGTACCGTCTATTTCTATTGTAGATGTTCTCTTGAAATCAACTAGTGCTTTCTCTTCACTTGTTACCCTCAGTAATATCTTTACGCCTTAAATAAGAGAAATTTCCTGATTCTAAATTAACTTTTATAGATAACTTGCTGTTTCACATAGGCCAGCATTTCTCTACACTCTTACCATCTTCAGTGGAGTCATAAAAAGACACTCGATAGGGTTTCAGGGTGTTTTTGCTAGAAAGGAAATAGTCTTTTAATTACCAGCAGCAGCTCAGTGATTACATCTAGTTTGCTCCTGCTGGGCCGTGGTGAAACTGAGGTGCTGCCACTAATTAAAATGTTTGAAATATTTTCTGATTGTTATAAATATTTGCAGTTAGTGATGAAAGCTGAGAATGTAGGAGATAGGAAGGGGTGTTACTTAATGATGGGCACCTGTGGAAAGCCTGAGAAACTCAGAATAAGGGCAGTTATTTTGTCCTTTCAAATAGACTAATTTGCATCTGCTACAAATGGGCCACATGGTGAATCAGCATATCTATGTATTAAATATTTCTCATCCCAAGCCATCCTGACATTAACTGCTCAAATAAGCCCAGCACAGGCTCTCTGGTGCTTAATTACTCTTGCCAGATGCTGGGAGGTCAAAGGTTAAGTAGTTCCCTTGGTATAAAGTGCTCTAGGAGGGGCCTGGTGCTGCTGCTAAAAGTCTGAGGTGCAAGGAGGAGAGAAAAAGTAAGTATAGAGTTTTGCTGAACTTTGGTGGAGAAGTGCACGGTTGGATTTACCTGCTTTGGGAAGTGCCTGTTGTCTCCGAGCTGTGTATTGTAACATTGCACAGATATTTTATCCTGAGCTCCTCTCAAGCTTAAGGAGAGGAGCTCCTTTACAAAAACAACATGACAAAGGTATCTAAAAGCTTAGAGTTGACACGCTGCTTTCCCAGCTTTTGTGCACCTTTATCAGAAGTGCTTTCCCAGAGCCCTATCGAGTCATGCACAACCTAGCTCCTCCAAAACAGGCATGTGAGTTGAGAGCCTGCTTTTTCAAAACCCATACAGGAATACGGGACATGCTTTTCTCTTGAAATCACAGATGCATGAAAACAGGAGGAATGAAGTAACTCAATTACTAGTTAACTTCCTTGTAGTATAGAGCTTTAGGTGGTTGCATTAATGCTTGTATAACAGGTATCTTGGATTTCACTTTTTAGTCTTGACTTCTAGCTATGTTCAGGCCAGCACACCTCTCTGTTGGATCCTAGTCACAACAGCCATCTTAGAAAAAATATTAGTGGTTCAGCTATGGCTGTGTTAATCGGTGACAAAAAATACGAACAGGAGCTTGTTAACATGAGGAAGAAAATACAATTGTATGTGTGGGGTTTTTCCTCACCCATTAGTGAGGATGTATATTTTCTCTCCAGTGTGTTACAGTTAATAGGGTGGCCATTATTACAACTTGGTCTTCAGAAGAATTTTTTATGTTCCATGCAAGTTAAATTGAGCTACTTAATGGCTCTGTGTCCCTCCATCAGAGGTGGCCTGGGTGAACGCAGGGCTGCCAGGGAGCTGTGTTACCTGAGACCTGCTCTTGTGCCGCTGAGCTGCAGCAAATGAACGAGAGCAAGGCTGCTGTGTCCAAGCTTAGGAAGACAGTTGTAGTAACCCACACGTGGCCCTTTCACACTCACCGGGAAGCTCTATCCCGTTGTCCAAGAGCCAACTAATGCGCGGCTGTGGTCTGCTTCCTTTGGTGTAGCAGGACAGCGTGATGCCTTTCTCTGTGTCTTGAGATACTTGCACTACTGGTTTGGAAGGAGCAGCTGTAGCAAGAAGGTTTACAGTCACTTGTATATTTTTCTACTTTTTCTATTTTTTTTTTTTAATGAATACCATTGTATTATTTGGAAAGTCTGAGGTAAGGGTGGGTTTACATCATGTTAAGCACTGTACAGTTGCATGCAGTTTCTGACACTGTTACAGAAAATGCTAGTTTTCTGTTAGGTCTGTCTGTAAATTCAACTTCTTGACATGAACTCACCTAACACCTTGACGGTTTTGTTCTTGGTTTTGAATGGGGTGCCATAGTAGAAGCATTTGTATACGCCTTCATCACGCACTGTTATGTTAGACAGTTGGATAGATAACTCTTTCTTTGAATAATGGATAAGTTTGAGCCTCTGATCTTTTAAACCTGTAAGGGAAGAAAAGAAACCCTGTATGAAATGTGTGTATGTTGGTGCATAAGAGCAAGACAGATAATCCAAGCATTAATGAGCGAGAAGGGTTTTGTTCGTTGCATAATTTTAATGCGTAAGCACTTGGCACAATGAACGGTTTGAGCCCCAAGCATTTCTAGCTGATGCTGCACTAGTGTGGACAGCAGTAACCTGGAATGTACATGCTGCCAAATGGGGAAAATGGTGCTTCCCCCCTCCACACACACTTTAATTTTTATCCAAACCCTGGAAGGAAGTTTAGCTTGGCAAGTGGAAGATGTTTTTCCAGTTGTCAGGAAAGCAAAGTGGAGTCCTTGACTTTGACCTGCACTTTGTTATCTTGTGCAAGTTGTTTACTGTTTGCCTCTGTTTCTCCAAGTAAATATCTGCCTCTTAAATGAACTGAAACTGCAGTTGTTTATTGGAGAAGCAATGTGGCAAAGGTTCATGTTGGTGATTCAGAATAAAAAATGAAAATGTCCCTGTACGGCGTAAAGTTTGGTTCCCCTCTAAATGGGATTTCAAGATTTTTTTTAAGGAACATTTTGGTTCCCTTATGAAGGGATCTAGTTGCTTTTCAGGCCCTAATTGCGTTGGTTTTGTGTCATGCATCTTTCTCAGTGTGTTAAAACTTTGGGTTGAATGCTCAGGCATTTTGACTGCTGCCATCTTGGTCATTTGGGTTAGGGTCTGCTCCCGCAGCTGCTAGTGGGTACAT